GAAGCAGGTAAAATCTTGATAAAGCGTCGGGTATTTGACCTTGTTGTTGAAGGCTGAGCTGAGGGTGCTGGCTTCTCTTTCGCGAGTCTTTTCACCGTTTCCTTGGCTCGTCTTTCATCCAAGACTTCAAACGTGTGCTGGAGTTGAGAGCACTCCTGGTGCAACTGGGCGAAGGTATTGATGCGGTGCCAACTAGTAGCAAGGGCATTCAAGAACCGAGGGTTCAGTTTGTGCTTGAGGTCTCTGAACAAGACGTCTGGACTGATTTGGGCAATTCCCGCATTCAGCTGGAATTTAGTAAAGAAGTCGTTGAAGCTTTGTCCGGCATCGTGGCTTTCGTCAACATAGAGGGCATATGCTTTTGCTTGCTTTTCGGGGTCGCCATATGCTAGCTCAAAGTGATCGAATACCGCCTGGGCTGTGTCAAGTTTCACAATCGATGATGGGAGGAAGTAGGGGGTGAGCCGACTTTGGGCGTCTCCAGTGGTCTGTTTATAAAGCCAGCGTGCTTGGGCGCCGTCGCTGGGAAACACTGTACCGTAGTCTAGAAGGAGGCCATTTACATTCACAAGCCATGCGTCGAACTCGGGGCCAGCATCTGCCTTGGGATTGTCTAGCTTCTCAAGGTGGTCTAGCCGAGGGATTCTCCGGGGGTCTGGTCCATTGGCTCGTGGAGGCGTAGGTCTGTTGCGTGCTTCGGCGGCTTCCGAGGTTTCAATCGATGGTTGAAGCTGTGCTTGAATACTCTGTTGCTGCTGCAAGTCGTACAGTTGCTGAGTTAAGTCAATAATCCTCTGTTCTACTGTAGCTGGCTGAGCGGCTTCGTCGTTGTTGTCATCGTCGGCGGCGGATAAGGACCGTTCTAGATAGTCTGGATTTGCTTCTTGGGGAATTTCCTCCTGGCTCGGCTGACCTGCAGAAATGCGAGCGCTTTTCTTTGGCGGCATATTCGTAGTTGATAAGGGAAAACGAAAGAGATTTGGTAACGTTGGTGGTTGGTGCGGATAGAAAAAAAAAGTGGGATTGTTGATTTTTGCTTTTTTAGATAA